GGCACACACCTGCCACACTTTGCAATGAAGAAAACAATGTTATGCACGAAAAAGATTCCAGGAAGATTCAACTGTGGTCTAATTCATGTAACAGTTCTTGAATTAGAGCTGATTTTGTTCTCACTTCTCTTTGAAGAGTTGTCCATTTCAAATCTTTTTGAAGTAGTCGTGAGCCTTGAAGTCTCCCAACCATCGTTAGCTCCTGGACAGCAGCATTCACTAATAGAGGAGCTCAGTGTAGAGTGGCCGTCAGGGGTGTCTGCAGTATATGGTCAAAAAAATCAGGATGGTGTCCATGATGATGTGATTGAGGCTCTGTCTGTTTTGTATGTGCCATCTTGACTTTTTTGACCACACCCTGTGGACATCCCTGGTGGCCACATATCCTATTTGACAAACAACTCTTTATCTATTAAAAGCAATCTCTCTTGGAAGGTTTCATCACAAGACAACATCTGGCCAACCACACCTGGTTAGGAAGCTAAGGAGGATTGGTCTTGGGTAGAATTCAGATAGGAGACCACCTGGGAATGCCAGCAGCTGTAAATTACAACAAGAGGATGATGCTGAACATCCTGAAAGAAGGCAAGGGCAAATCATTTCACTACGGTTATGAAGATAATGCTGTGGGTGTGCTGATGCCCACCGCTCAAGTTGAGCTTGACTCAAAGGCATCTTTACTAGGGCCTGCAAGAGTCTAGACACCTACTAGATGGCAGCCAGATGTTTGTCTGGATCAATTTTTCTCAACCTTGGTAATTTCCAGGTATATGGACTTTAACTCCCAGAATTCTCATCAGTGGCCATACTGGCTGTGGAATTCTGGGATTTGAAGTCCACACACCTTGAAATTGCCAAGGTTGGTGAGTACTGGTGTGGATTCTTCACCTCTGTTTGAAGAGTTGTCAGGTACAAGGCTAGTTTAAAGAATCCTAAAAAGAATAGCAGGGAGGAAGTTTTCAATCAACATTAGAAAGTAAGTGAGCTTAGGACAAAGAGGCAGACAGGGCCAAGACAAAAACAAAATTGGATTAAATGGAGTCAGATTTTAGTGACATTTCGTTCCTTTAATTAAACACCATAGGCTATATGATTGCTGCTTATGCATTTAAATGTTTCTCCCTTTTGGCACTTTAAAAATCTAAAGTCAGTCGCAAAAGGCTTTTGGATATCATATGTATCCCTGGGGATTCAGGTTGGACTCTCCTAATTTAAAAGCTAGTTGTGATCTAAATATGTAAGTGTCCATCTGAATTAGCACATCCATATGTCTTAAGAGGTTATCCCATTAAGCCACCATATGGTCTGTTTGTTTGGACAAGGGTTCTTCTACAAACCTTGCCTTTTTTGGTTTTCCAAGAAATGTAAGGTTTTGTTTAAATCGTTCTGCAGTAGAAGAGCGTGTGGATGGGAGCGACGTGTGTTTGTAATAATATTTTGAGCTGTAAGAGGGAAGGGGGAGGGCAACGATCATGCAATCATCTGTGGTGCGTGCAAATGTCCAAGGAAACATCTGGTTAGGAGCAAGACACCTTCTGCCTCTTAGGGTTGCAGGAGGAGCGGGACAAATGTTTGTCTTTTCCATTGGAGCTTCTGTAGCAGAGGTGTAAGGTGTCACGGCTGGAGCAGAGGATGTGAAGAAGGAACAGTGTTGCTTCCAAGAAAGAAGAGGCACTAAATTGATTTCCATAAATATTTGAGCAAGGCTGAATTATTTATGACCCTTCAGCTCTACAACAGAGGTGATGGGGCGGCAATAGAATGGGGAGAACAGCGGTGAATTTTCTAGATGATTTCATTTAAAAATATGACCCTTTTGCCCAAGTTTGGATTCCAACCCAGGCAAGTCCTGCCTGCCAGTGATCTGGAAGTCAGTCCCTCCCACCATGTCTTCCCCACCTATTTCTCACTTTCTCAGTTCTCTTTTTCTCTCTGTTCACCCTCCCAGCTTTGTCTGTCTTAATCTGCCAGCCCTCTAAGAGGGTGGCATAAGATGCCCACTGGATTCCACCCCCTCCTGTAATTGGAAGCCTTTGTCATTCAGATGAAGGCACAAGACGGGGGAGAAAGAAAATAGAGAAAGGAAGAGGGAACAGGATCTCTTTGTTTGCCTTGCAGATTACAGCACATGGCCAAGAACCATGCACAGCTCCCCAGGGCTGGACGATCTGGTCCATTCCTCCTTATGGGAATGGGGTTGTCCCACGTGGGGGAAACCCGAGGTCTGCAGCAAAACTTTGCTGCATAAAATGCTAGTCGTTGGCAGTCTTCTAGCCTGCCAGCTCTGACCTCCTTGCTGGATATTCCATTCTCCTTTGTATCTACTTTTTCATTTCATTTCCTTGCCTCCACCTTATTGGGAGACTGTAAAACATCCTAGGAAATAAGATGATTGCTTTGGTTTCTAGTACATGGAGGCTTTGTGACCAGCCCCACCTACATAGTTGCCATTTTGTGAGAGTGTCCTCAGCATCTTTAGGTGCCCACCAGGTCATAAAATTGCTGATTCCTGGCAGTTTTGTAGGTTCCTGACAGGTTGAAAGATAAAATCAGAACCCCTTGATCTTGTTTGGAAAGACAAATTGCAACACTTTTGAAGCAAGGTTGAGCCTCCGTTCTTACAGCATGGAATGTAACAACATTCCTGGGAGTGAATCTCCACCAGCAAGTGTGAAGACATCTGGCTGGTTGTTTCTAGCCTGGAGAGGAGCAAGTCACACTGCTCTAAGCAATGCTGGAAGGACTGTTTGGGTGGTATGTCCTTGAACAAGGGATAATTGTTAGCCTAATTAAGTTACCCTAAAAAGGATACCATCACACAGACCCTGGTTTACCCCATATCTTCCTTCTGAATGGTCAACAGCCTTGTGGAAGAGGAACTGAGGCAGATGCTCCTCCGGTATTTATTTCTATATTCAAAGAAATAAAACAGTGGGAAAAAGTATCGTTACACATGTTAGCTCAGGAAACATGCATTTTTTGTGTGCAATGAACCTTTGGAGCTTGCCACGTCACTCTCACACTTTCCCCAATTTTCTCTGAAACTGTCAATGATTGCACCAAAGAATTTAGGAAGATAAACTTTTAAAACCTTTTCTTAACCATGGGATTCTAAACGGGACAGACTGTTGCTGAGAAGGAGAACAATCTGGAGGACCCAAATCAGTGCATTAAAATAACTTCAATTCAATGATTATTAGCACCACAACCTATTTTAATTCAGTGTCAGATGCTGCTACATTTTCCTTGCTATTTCTCATTACGTCTGATGAAAGAGAATGTTAATTTCAGAATTTATTTCAAAAAATCAAAAATCTGGTAGGATCATTTCTGACTAACATGGTTTATCAAAAGTGCATACCAGATTTCTGGGTTTTCTGCCACCATAGACTATCATGGCTTTTTCCCTACAATTTTGTTCAAAGGAGACAAGAATTTTGGAGACATTTGTATGTGTGGTCTTGTGCCTATTTAGCATGTATGCAAATGCCCAGTTTTTCATTGGACAAACATTTCTCCAGCAGGCTGCAGTTCCCTGGCTCTCTGTGCTTCCATTAAATCCCACGGGAAAAATCAGGAGGATTTTCAGATTGCCAAGTGTGGGCAACCAGGGAAGTTGCAGAACAGAGATGTGTTGTAACTGCTGACAGTAGCACTCCCTGCCATCTCCAGCAATAACATAAGTTTCAAAACCCCACTAAAGAAATTGAAAATAAACTCCCATGCAGTTGGAGACTAAGAGATACAGGAGGTTTTTTGGGGGAGGGAAGAAAAATATCTGAAAAATGGTAAGGCAGGTTCTGGAAGGGTTCATTTCCTAATCCAACAAGTCCACCGGTAGACTTTTTGGGGGAGTTGTTTCCTTGTGATTTTTTTTCCCGATTCAGAATCTGTTGGAAAACTATTCTTTTGCCATTTGGTTTAGATGTGTCAACATTTTGGATTACAAGGAGACTGGAAACCATTTCATTTGAACATACCTATCTGGCAGGCCAGGGAAACGCAAAAGTGTGGGTCTCCTTTAAATTCCCACCTTGTTATCAGATACAAGTTGCTAATCCAATTTGGGATTCAAAAGCAGAAGGAAGGGATGTTTTTCTCCTTTCCTTCCTTCCTCCCTCCTCCTCCCTCTCTCCTTTTTAAAAAAGAATGCGCATTCTGAGCAGGCTATATTTATATATTACCATCCTGCACTAACTCCGTGTAAGTGCCAAAACAACATCATAGCAATTCCCTTTGCCCTAAGTGGCATTTGAAAGAGTTGGAATGAAATTCTTGTTTTCAAGAGGAGGTGTGTTCCTTTGGGCAATCATTCTTCTGTTTTCTGGCATTGTTGCTTTTATGGAGGTAAGCAGCGGGGGGGGGGGGGGGCAGGGGGAAAAATTCCCAGGAAAAAAAAATCAAGTTTCACAAACCAGGACAAAGGGCCTTTTTTTTTTTTTTTGGGGGGGGGGGGGGGCAGGGGGAAAAATTCCCAGGAAAAAAAAATCAAGTTTCACAAACCAGGACAAAGGGCCTTTTTTTTTTTTTTTGGGGGGGGGGGGGGGCAGGGGGAAAAATTCCCAGGAAAAAAAAATCAAGTTTCACAAACCAGGACAAAGGGCCTTTTTTTTTTTTTTTGGGGGGGGGGGGGGGAGAGGGAGGCAGGGCAAGAATTCCCAAGTAATAAAAACTCAGATTACACAACCCAGGACAAAGTCCTTTTTTTTTCTTTTTTCTTTGGCCTCATCCAAATGCTGTTCCCCTCTTTTGCGGTCCTTTGCGTGCCATTCTGATGGGGAAGCCGCAAGCATAGCATTCGTAGAGATGCATTGCTAACCAAAACTTCAACACTGAAATCTGCTAGAAAAATGTTTTGGAATAAGAAACGGTCCCTTTTTTCTCTCCTTCCCCCTTTCTCTTCCCCCAGATAGTTTTAAGGGGCAGGAAAGAAGCAGACAGGATCAGTTGTCCAAACTGCTTGCTTGTCATGTGCTGGCTGAGTCCCCCCTTTACGGGAAGGCTGTCTGATGAACATGAGACTCCCGGCAGGGAGACAGATGGCATTTTACTGCCTGACTGCAAGTCATATTTCTTTTATTTCCGGGACGGTTGTGAACGTTCAGGTGGGTTTGGGGCAGGGAAGTGGGCGTGTCAGATGTGATCAGAACTCAGGGTGACCATTGCTGCTGCTTCTGATCACCTACGGCGTTTATGAATTTGGAGTCCGTGGAGTTCTCTGAGCTTGGTTGTTTTCTTGCGGACATTTCGTTACCTGGCTAAAGGTGTTACCTGGCTGGGTAACGAAACATCTGCAAGACCGCAACCAAGCTCAGAGAACCCCAAGGACTCCACAGTTCCACCCTGAGCTACAGATATTCTCTTCTGTGAGTATGAATTTCCTCTAGGTGACCAAGCAACATTATGACTTGAGAAAGAAGCAGATGTCGCCTTGAATGTGGAAGTCCACTTTCTCTTCCGATACACCTGGGCAGGTAAGATGCTCTGTCTTAGAGAGTTCACAGAAGAAATACCTAGATAACCACTTAAACTACAGAGCAGAAAGCTGATGGTTGAAACTTGAGTGTGGTCTTTGGAAAATCGCAGGTGGCGAGCCTCAATATTTCCATTCCTCCCACATCTTCAACAAGGTGAAAGAAACAACTGTGTAGGTTCAGAGGCCCATCAAGTCCAACGTGCTGTTTCTCACTGTGCAAAGTGAAATGCCATTGCAAAACTCACAAGCGGGAGACAAAACCAATTGCTTTCTTGTAGCAGTGTCTGTGGGAGGTATGTGTCCAAACAGGCAATATGGTGGTCATGGCAGTGTGATCACAGCCCCATCCCTTTGATATGCATACCCATCTTGACTTTTTTTGACACCCCCTTCCCCCATGGACAGCGGTGATTATTTTCCATATGAGATTTTTTTGGCCACTGTTCTACATAATCACTTGTCCCGAGCAGTGTTTCTCAACCTTGGCAACGTGAAGATGTGTGGACTTCAACTCCCAGAATTCCCGGCTGGCTGGGGAATTCTGGGAGT